TTATTGTTTGCCCACAGATTAATCAGAATTTACCCACTCCCCCCCCCCTCCCCCCCTACTTCAATCAGTGAAAGACTTATGGACAAGAAATCAACAGACAACACAAACAGAAAGAACAAGAATCAAATGCCAGAGAACACAACTAATCTTCTTACATACAGGTTAATATGTGTCCATGATCTTCTTCCACCTTTACGGCCTTGCGAAAACACCCCAAATCTTACTCCGGGCGAGGCTGTCTGCTAACTTCTTGGCTCCTTCAACATCCATCTCGGCGAGCTTCTGCAAATGCAAGCAAGCACCAGCAGCCACGATCTGTTTCCTGCATTTCCTCGAGGTCACGAGCAATTCCAACGCAGAGACAGTGTATCTCTTATCCAAATTCTTGATCTTCGGGTCCAAAAGCTGAACAAGGTTATGTATCCCTTTCTCGCTCTTCTTGAAAACTCTTTTGTTGCTCGTGCAGACCAAGAGGGTAGATAATGCCTTGGAAGCTGCTTCTTTCTCCTGCACGGCCTTGCCATCTAACATGTCAATCAATGGACCAATGCAGCCACATTCACCCATTTCTTTTTGGGTTTTCGAGCTGAAACCCAACGCAGAAACAGCCTCAGCGGCAGCCATTCTCACAGCCAAAATGCCACATCTCAACACCAAAACCACCCGAGGGATAAATCCCTCTGAGATCAGAACTTCTCTGACAGCAGGGCACGAAGCTAAGTTCTTGAGAAGATCAAGTGCTGCTTCAAGGGATTTAGCAATAGAAACAGAATCCCAGAAACTCTTTAGGCACTCAATTCCTCCTTCTCTGACAACCAACACCCTCAAATTCTCGTCCCCAGATGTCAAATTAGCCAAACACCCTACAGCACTCTCTTGAGCAAGAGGCGTACCTGAAGAAACTAGAGAAATCAGGACGAAAATGGCGTTTTCCTCAACGAAATTCTCTTTGGTTTCGGCAAATGAAGCGATGTTCCTCAGAACACCGGCCGCGAGAGCCTGCGAACCGGGAGTCCCGGCTTGGCAGATTTCCAACAGCGATGAGATTCCACCTCTGGAACCGATCGCTCTCGCGTTCTCCTTCGAGAAACTCAGTGCTTGCAGAGCAATGCAAGCTTTCTCCTTTGCGAAACCGCTTCCTGATTCCAGAACGCGAAGGAGATGGTTCAGTAAGAACAACCCTTCAGCTATCAACAGATGTTTGCTGCTATCAACCATGGAAACTATTGAGATGGCGGCTACAGTCTTCTCCTTCATAACCAACGAGCTCGAATCGAGTAGACGAGCCAGAACAGGCACAACCCCCTGAGCAACGGCGATCATCACGTTCTTGTCATCCTTCTGTAACAATTCGAGCAACGAGTCCATCGCCGAGTTCTTCGACTCGGGTCCACCAATCTGCAACCTCGTCACCAGATTCCTCGCCTCCACACGAACCGCTTCCTTCTTCGACGAAATCGAACCTCCAGAAACGACGGCGACGTCGCCCTGGAGAACCCCGCTCTTGATCAGAACCTCAGCATCCTTCACATGACAATCGAACCTCGCAATGACCGAGTCGACCTCGCTCTGCGTCTTGAGCTTCCCCTCCACCAAATCCAACCCCTCGCACCTCGCCGCGACAGGGACCGCATCCGCCAGCGTCTCCCGAACCGACCGGAGAAGCTCGAGCGCGAGCAGGTTCGAGGACGACCCATCAAATTCAGTGAAATCAGAGAGCTGAGTCTTGAGATCGACAAGCTTGGCGCGAATCAGAGACCATTTCGACTTGAAACTCAGAAGCATGGGAATACGGTCGAGTAGAGACGAGATAGCCTCCATCAGTCGCCGAACGGCGTCGCTTTCCGGCGCCGGCATCGGATTCTTCAATCCAATACGTCGACTCAGTGAGTTAGGGTTTCAGAGCGCAGAGAGAGAGAGAGAGAGAGAGAGGTTATGACACTTCTGCCTGCTACTGGTGCTTTTTTTTGCCAGTTGCGAAATACACGGTGAAGGAGAAGAGCGAGTGAGCACACGCGCTGAACCGGGATCTATCAAAAGGAACAAAGGCATGTGACTTCATAGTTTATAGAACAATTATTAGGGTATGATGCAAAATCAGACAGGACATCCTACCAACATCCAACTGAAAAAATATTGCAACAGTTTCTGCTCCAGTTCCGGCACTGCTATTAATGGGCGTTGTTCCCCCGAGTCCATGGATAATGCCCAAATGATGGAACGGTCTTAGTAAACAGTCTTGTCACATTGTTCACCGCCAACATGACCAAAAGTGGAAAAACAAAAAACAAAACAGAGTAACTAAGTTGAGTTTTGGAGCAGCAATAGAGAGGGTTCTAACCGTGAACCGCCCTTACTCCCCTCCTCGGTAGTTTCGCTACTTAATCATGCTTGCGAAGTTGGCTGTCATAAGAAAAAAACTTTATAATTTATATTCTTTTTTTTTTGTTATCTATTATTATTTATATTCTTAGTGAGATACTCTTTTTTATTTATCTTGTAACATATGATTTCCAAAATTTTAGAAAAAGAAATATTCGATTTGACTAATTAGTTTCTACGCGTATAGAGATCTTTTAGAGCCCAACTCGTTTTAGGACAAGTGGGCGACATTGTTCTCCCATCTAATTTCGAACCACATCTTGAATTAAATATATTGAATATATAATTAACTTTTGGCACCCTAAATTATAAAACAACAAAATATATAAACCGTTTAACATATTATTGTAAATAGCTTTTCCTCTCTTTTCTATTGATTAAATATGATGATTTTCACGTTGCATTTGTTTAAACCGTTCGATCTATTATTTTATTATGCCAAATTCTAATAGGTCCAAATATATAATATGAGATTGTACGCTAATGATACTAAAAATAGTTTTTTTACGATCCTAAATGGTTATATAGTAATCTGCCAGTTTCTACAAATTAATCTATATTGTTTTTTAATGATTTGTTTCCGTTTAGAACATTTTTAATTATATAATATTAAGTTACAACTAAGATCCTAGCTTTGCTAATATCCTATTTGATATTATTATGTTAAATTAATGGATTGTTAATAGTTCGGTCAAATGAATTATTATTATAACCAAACCTACCAATTTGGCATTATAAAGACTTTTAATAAAGCGTATGAGTGCCTCTAGTCCTATGCTTTGATTGTCATATTATTTGCATGCATCGTACGCATTTCAATCATCATCATCATCACCATCATCACCATCATCATCATCAAAAATATGTGATGACTTTGACTCCTCTGTCCTCGTGATCTTTTCCACACGCGATTTTCCGCCGCGTTTCATTTTTTTTTTTCATACTTTTAACGTTCGATACTTGCAAGAAAAAAGAAGAAGTCCATCGGGCAGATTCGACCCGACTCGACCCGAGTCTGCATTTGGTTCGAGAGTTTTGAATTCGGATTTAAGTCTATACGATTTCTTTTTGGATCTAAATAACTAAATCCAAAATTTAACCTTATAGATTTCGAGTTTCAATTCCGGCCGGATTAGTGCGTTAAATTGTTTTATAAAATTTATTTATTTTTATTTTTTATTAAATTTTTTTCTAAAAAGATTTAATCTTTCTGATGCGAGATGTGGTCTGGATCTCACTCGAAAGTCCACAAAATTTCGGGACAATATTTGGACCTGAAGTCCACTATTTTTCGGGCTGACATTCGGACCGGATCAGACTCTACATTTCGAGCCAAATTTGACAGCTAATTTTAGATATACGGAGATGGGAGAGATTAACATCTTTATGACCCAACAGTTGGTGGTCTAGTGGCTGAGAGATAACAAAGTCATCTTTGGGGAATGATGTAATTTCTGGATCAAAATTGTTCATATACAAAGACTGATTTTGGGTCTAGAATAGATGTAGTCAGATCCAAGGGCTGGACAACCATCTTAATTATTAAAAAAAACAAAAAAAAAACATGTTTATGTACCCACCAAAGACGACATATATCTATATATATAAGGAATCATAACGACTTGTCACACATGATAAATGACTTCATAATATCTTATTTTATTTATCATTTTAATCAATTTTTATTTTCTGTATTATTTTTTAGAATATAATTACGAGGAAATTTGGGGTAACGTGTCAAAATTTTTGGAAAATATACCTAATGCAAGTGTACTTTTGCAAACTATAACAATTTTAATTTGGAATATTCTAAATTTACCTCTTAATTTAAATCTAGATGATTAGAAAACAAAAATTGTTCCTCCTCTCTTTCTTCCGTAACCACTAACCATAACACGAAGATAATGAAACTCGAAATCCAATGGACCACGGGTCGGGTCGGTCCAGAGGCCCATGAATTTTTATTTCTCTATTTTACCTCTAAAATTCTGAGAGTTAATTTCGTAAGGATTTTTGGAAATTTGTATAAAAATTTAAGACATAGATTAATTAATATAAAAGTTAGAAATAGTTCCTCATTTGTACGAGAATTTTAAACTTCGTATATTTATTTGAAAATTGTTTTATAATTTCGTGGATTAATGTTGAAAATTTTTCCTGTAATTAATCGGACGACGAGGGCGATATTAGGGCAAAAGAAAAAGAGGGAAAAAAACCTCTTCGTCTTCGCCGCATTACGATAACGAACCCTAGCGTTCCTTTGATTCCTGGTCTTCGGCAAAAATCTCTCCGGCTGGCGAATAAGGTATGACAGCTGCCGACCCGGAATCTTCGACGGTGGATATCCCGACGCTGCAGCGGCAACAACAACCGGAACATACAGGTACGGAGATTCCGATCTGTGAATCTCAGGAGCATGAGCAACACCAGTTCGTAAAATCGATCGGCGATTTGGCTGCGCTCTCTGCCGCCATTAACGCCTTCAAAAGAAAGTACGATGACATGCAAAGCCACATTCAGTTCATCGAGAACGCCATCGATGCCAGACTCGCCGGCGTCAACGTCGGGGGCGGAGTTGGCGCATCTTCTTCCTCCGTCCTCCCGCCGGAGATTGATTTACCAGAAAACAAACCTCCGCAAGAGTCCGGCACGGTCGTACCAGAGTCGTCGGAGATGCCGGAGGTGAAACATTTGTGCGAATCGATGTCCAGCAAGGGATTGCGCAAGTACATCCTGAGCAATATCGCCGAACCGGCGAAGCTCATGGAAGAGATTCCGGAGGCTTTGAAGCTGGCGAAGGACCCTTCAAAGCTCGTTTTTGAAAGCATAGGAAAGTTTTACTTACAAGGAAGAAGAGCTTATACCAAAGATTCACCGATGATCACTTCGAGGAAGGCTTCTCTCCTCGCAATGGAGTGTTTCCTTTTAATGGCGGATCCTGATGCTGCAAAGACCATGGTTGAAAACTCCACAAAGGTGGAGGCGAAGAAGGCTGCATTTGCGTGGAGGAAGAGGTTGATGAGTGAAGGAGGTTTAGCTAATGCACAGACAATGGATGCAAGGGGTTTGCTTCTGTTGATTGCTTGTTTTGGTGTTCCTTCCACCTTTGGGGATTTGGATTTGGATTTGTTGGATTTGCTGCGACAGAGTAAACCTTCCGAGATTTCAAATGCTCTCAGGCGGTCCGCCTTTCTTGTCCCGAGGATTCCAGGTGCAATACCCTTACATGAAAGGAATAAACTTCGATGCTAAGTCTTTCCTTTTCATAGATCGAACCCATCAGGAACTGATTCTCCTTTATTTCTTGTTGCCTACACATGTTTGGACTTGGACTTGTATGTATAATGCTGCAAACTAAGGGTTAACCTGCTATTTGGAATGCTACAAGATTCATGAGGGGAAACAAATTTGTGGTTTCGTAACTTTCCCAGAAGTATGTTCTGTTTGCCATGTGTATTAGGTTGGAATTACTGTAATTAGTTAGGCAAGCAGATGAATTGGCTGATATGTAAATGATAGTCTTGAGCAATTTTGTCTGGAAAGTTGTGAAGGACTGTTCCTTAAGATGCTTTCTACTTGTCATAGATTTAATCGATTTGGGCATCAAGCGAAAGATGCATGTCGATGCTGTGGAGTTGGTCTATGCCTTTGGGTTGGAGGATAAGTTTTCACCTCCTTCAATTCTAAATTCATTCTTAAGGATTATCAAGGATGCATTTGAGGAGGCTAAACAGATGGCTCGTTCGCCGATGACAGTTGTATGACAACCCTTTCTTGTTTTACACTTTTCTTAAGAGTTTGGGTTTTTTCTTCTGTCAAAGTATTATTATTGATCATTGACTGTGTTATATTTTTTCTCGCAGAAAGGGGCAGTGGAAAGGCAATTAACTGCTCTACAATCAGTATTTCGGTGTTTGGAGGCTCACAATTTAGATCCTACGAAAGTACTAGGTGGATATCTGATCAAAGATGAGATAGTTAAGCTGGAAAAAGACATTGTTGAGCTCAACAAAGAAATCAAAGAGAAGGAAAGATCCTTCAGAATGAAGGAGGAAGCCGTACTCACCCAAAGATTGTATAACCGAGAAATGAAACGTCCAAGGCTTTCAGGCACGGAAATGCCTATGCCTGCATCATCTTACTCTCCTATATACCATGATCGAAACTTCCCTAATCATGGAGATGGAGATAACATCTCTGCTCTTGTGAGCACTTACCTTGGCACTCAATCTTTTCATCATAGATCATTATCAAGTCTCAGGTCTTCCCGTGAAACTGTTGATGAGCGTGGATTAGAAAGAGGCGTATCTGCATTTGAATCGCATACTGGTAACTTGCTCTCTAATGTATACTCCCCGCCGATGCACGGGCACAGCCTCTCTCGGCAGTTCTCACCGGCCCATAGAGAGAACCTTTCTCTGATTGGTGAGCGAAGCCTTTCTGGGCAACACATATCCCCTGGACTACAAAGGGTATTGAGGCACTCACCATCCGTAGATCATTTTGCGGGTTTGCCCAGACACTCTTCCCATGTTAACTCACCATCGGATTGATATGGATGAAACCACATCATATCTATAGCCTGGCCATGTGAGCAGTACAGGAAGAGAGATGCAATTAGTTCATCAATGCGTTGTTCCGGGTACATTTTTTTTTTCTCACACCAGAATTGATGATAATGAAATATTTATCAGGTCCTCTGTTTCATATCGTTGTTGCTCTCTCCGGGCTGCATGTGTTACTGCAGACTCGAGACCCTGGAGCCGACAGCTTGTCCATGAATATTGATATGTAACCAGGTCTTCTGTTCCAACTACTTTGGAACTGGAAACTGACATTAGGTATCAAATCTGTTAGTGAAAATCATTGGGGGGGTCTTTCTGCTTGACAATATTACCTCGAAATCCAGGTAGTTAAGCCAACGAGGGAAGAAGGAAGAAAGCCAAAGTTAATCATCAAGAAACCAAAGTTTTCGAGCTATCTAAACCGAACGCGTCGGTTTTCATGGGATATGAAGAATGTGTTGTCTCTCAAACCCGGGGATAAGGTTTCTCATGATTATCTTAAAACATATTTTAAGCTAATACAAATTCATCCGAAAAATGACCCAAAACATCTTTCGGTTTATTTCTCTTACTCATTTACAATGTCGTCTATATGCGTGTGGCCCAACAGGATCCGTTCAATATGGCAGTAGAACGAAATACCATCGAAATCCGTCTCTAATAAGACCTATCGATTGTCCACGTTAAATCGAGTTAGTGATTTGAAGATCTGTCTATCATAATATTTGATATTATCTTTTTTGTCACATGGCATAAATGATTAAACAGGGATATATTAATCTTATTTGAGGGGTCTAAAGAAGATCACCTATAATCATCAAATGATTCATAGAAAAGTTTATAAACAACGTTTGACAATGTTAAAGAAACGTTGTTCGTCAAATATGATAATAATGATCTCAATTCTAAGAATCACATATAAGACAATTGTTGGATATTTTAGAGTAAACGGTTTATCGGAATAATCTCTATAGATGAGTTATATATTCATAATGGATATGCTATGGATTGGTAAAACGAAATTTTTGTTACGGAGATGTAACTCGGTCCGTGTTAGAAGTAACTCGTGTCGTGTTACTTTCTGAGAGAAAATTTCGTTTTGCACAAAGATTTGACGCGACTCGAATTAGATGTAACTCGAACCGCGTCAGGGGTACCTCTGTCCGAATCAATTGTAACTCCGACTGCGTCAGAAGTCTAGAAGAAAATCATGTTTCAACATGAACTTGACTCGGCCCAAGTCAGATGTAACTCAGACCACGTCAGGGGTAACTCGGTCGAGTCAGTTCTAACTCGGCCCGAATTAGTTTTCAGAAAACGAACAGATGCGATTCTTCTCGGATTTTTGTAACTTTTGATGATGTCTTTTAGTGTTTATAAATTAAAGACGTCAGAATAAGTTGGTGATGAGATCTAATAAAAAAATTGAGAGATTTTGAGTGTTCATTTTGGTGGTTCTTGCAAACTCAATCAAAAGATGTTGTGTTCATCTTCATAAACAAGTATTTGTATGATGATTCTCGGAAGGTAATCCAAAATCATTGAATCTTCATTGTATCTCAGAAATGTATTCCTATAATCCCATTTACCCGGTAGTGATGGAATAACGCTTTTAAGAAAGTGATTACACGTCTTGAAGTCATATCCAGATTCTTTACTATTCATACGTGTTACAGGATCGAAGTCATATCCGGATTCTCTACTATTCATAGGTGTTACAGGGTCGAAGTCATATCCAGATTCCAGATTACAGCAAGATACGAGGTTGAAAACTTATATCTTATCGGGTACGTATGTGTTTTCGTAATTCATTTTTTGAATTTTCTCTAACAAATTATATGAGATCCAATCATATGTGCATCTCACGATATTATAGTGGTTAACGAGTCTATCATTTTAAATAAAAAAAGTTATGATCGTGATTTATATCCAATACACAATAATAATTTAATGATTATCTATTACATTTCATGTTAGTGTTAGTTTAGTTATAGTTGAAAGACAGAGGGAGATTAAGATGAAAGATACTACTAGATGAAAGATACGTACTAAAATATTTTAAAATTATTTATAAAAATTTTTAGATACGAAATACAATATCATAAAATAAACAAAATATTACATAACGTTCAGTAGATAATTATTATAAACCACAAACACCAACAATCTTCCATTTGTTTTATTCATGATATATGGGTATGTATTTATTGGTATATGCATGAATATATATTTGTATGTATGTATATATATATAAGTATATATATATATGTATGTGTATTGTATATATATGTCTATGTATTTTTTTTCTTAGTTTTTAAAATTTTTTAATTTTTAATTTTTATATATTTTATTAATTTTAAATTGACTAATGACATGGTATTTTTAAAATAATTTCTGATGACATGTTTTTTTTAATACGTGCGTGAATATGTTTCCGTTAATATTGTGACGACGCTTATATTGGAGTTTGTAAAAAAAATGTAAAATGTGTGTATTTTTTTTTATAAAATTCAAAGTCTATGTAATTATTCGTGGAATTAAATATAATTCCAGTGATAATTTCACGTTACCAATAACTATACGACACGTTCCACTTCCCCATATAATATTTTCATTAATTTCTTTGGGTTTTTTTCTTCTCTTGCCATTGTTAAAAAAAAAACCTAAGGAAAAAGAAGCTCTTTGTCCTCTGTGTCGCCATACAACAATATTACGATTTTCTTCTTCTTCTTCAGTTTTGTTCTATTTTGTAATCTTCTTGCCAAACCCCTCTCATTTTCCCGCACTTTCCCACCCACAGGGAGGAAAATTCCCCAGGAAAATGAGGTGGGAAAGGGTCCGACAACAATACCCACAAATGGGTCTCGGTTCGGGGCCCGGAAAAGGGTGGGGACACACTTGTAACGCCATTAAAGGAGGCAGGTTTCTCTATATCTTCGGTGGTTATGGCAGAGACAACTGCCAAACCAATCAAGTGCATGTCTTCGACACTGGTGAGTTTCTGGGGTTTCTTTCGTGGAGAGATTCGTCTCTGTGGCAAAGTATCGGATTCTTACGTTGATTATTGTGGTGGGTATTGCACACAGCCTCAATCTTTTGTTTCCTCCTCTGATCTGTGTGATGATTTGTATCAATCTCTAGGGTTTTCTTCACTTGTTCGTTTTTTTACCTTTGCATGTGTTGATAGTTGTTAGACATTAATGCTTCAGGAGAAGAAGATGCTATGATGAGTTTTGGTTCGACAAATGCCACATCTTCTCCTGATTTTGGATGTTTTTGGCCAACAATCATCTGTTCTTATGCGATGGTTATGCAGTAATCGAGTTCTTTCATATGGAATGTTTTTTATAGATTTTGAAACTCTTTTATATGCTTTTTTTTTAGTTGGTCTTCTGTGGTTTTCTTTGTTCGTTGTCTGTTTCAAGCATTTGATGTTAAACACTCTCAATCTGTTGTGATTTCGTGCAGCAAAGCAGACATGGACTCAGCCATCGATCAAAGGCACGCCTCCCCCTCCGAGGGATAGCCACAGTTGCACAACCGTGGGTGACAATCTCTTTGTATTTGGTGGTACTGATGGGACAAACCCTCTGAAGGATTTGTACATACTTGATACTTGTATGCTCTTCCATTCTTGTTTCGTTTTTTGCTTCAGATTTTGTTTGAGAACTTGGTTATATGATATCGAGAGACCGTTATCCATCATTACACTCTCACAACCAAGATCTGTTGGTTGTTCCTGCTATGAGCAGATTATCGTGTTCAACTCACTCTTGTATCGTTTTTTTCTTGTTCTGATAGCTTCACATACTTGGATATGTCCGAATGTTAGAGGTGAGGGTCCCGAGGCAAGAGAGGGTCATGGTGCAACGCTGGTTGGCAAACGACTTTTCATATTTGGTGGATGTGGCAGATCTCCTGATACCAATGATGAAGTGTATTACAATGATCTTTACATATTGAACACAGGTACTGCTGTTCCGGTACAAGGCTTTCTTGAATTGGCATGATAATGTTTTCTTTCCATATGTCAGCATTAGCCATCGATGCAAAATCTGGGAGCGGTCCAAAGATGAACCTTTTATGCATTTGTTCTATGCATAAGCATTGACCGAGCCGAATATGGATTTTAGCCTCCGTTAACTCAAAATGAAATATAAACAAGCACATGCCTTTTTCTTTTCTTGCCTTAATGTGCATCCCTTTGTTGAGTTTGTGAACATTTTATAGTATCCTTTTTTTCCGGGATAGATGTAATTCAATGGGTGGTATTCCGATGTAGAGACTTTTGTGTGGAAACGCTCTGTAACAACCGGGACACCGCCGTCTGCACGTGATAGCCACACTTGCTCATCCTGGAAAAACAAACTCATTGTTCTCGGTGGTGAAGATGGGCAAGATTATTATTTGTCTGATGTCCACATACTTGACGCAGGTCCAGGCCAATTCTTAAGTTTGTATGTGCTTATGTGAATATATCTTGTTTCGGAGGAAAACTAGAGATCTCTCTCCTGACTTTGCTGTATTTCATTATTAGATACATTCGTATGGAAGGAGCTGCATACTTCCGGCCAGTTGTTGACACCTCGAGCTGGTCATGCCACTGTTGCATTTGACAGGAACCTGTTTGTGTTTGGAGGTTTCACCGATGCCCAGAATCTTTATGATGATCTCTATGTTCTAGATCTCGGTATGTACTCATGATGTGAATTAATAGCAATGTCATGTATGTAAACCAGTAAATCAATAATCTTGAAGGATTAAAAAAGAAATTTCCCCATGTTTTGTTTCTCTGCTTATTATTTTTGAAGAATTTTGGCACGTGACTCTTGCGTGATATATTACACATGTAAACACATTGGTCGATGGGCATTTGTTTTTCTTTACAGTGAGCATTTTTTCATGGTGGTGATTGTTGTCTATATTCTAACATCAATAACCAGGCGGTTCTACAATATTCTTTTAATCTCCGCAGATACGTGTGTATGGTCTAGGGTTCTTACAATGAGCGAAGGACCTTCCGCAAGGTTCTCTGCTTCAGGGGACTGTTTAGATCCTCAGAAGTCCGGTGTGCTTGTCTTCATAGGTGGCTGCAATAAGAACCTTGAGGCATTGGATGACATGTACTATTTATACACAGGTTACTATGATCCCTGGTTTTACTATGAAATTACCGGTTCAATTTGCTAACCATGGATTCTTTGTCTCTCTTTTTAATTATAGTTCTGTTTTCGATACATTCATCTTGTAAAATGCATCTCTAATCTAATTTAGTCACGGGAAACAGGACTTGGACGTGATGGGATAGATGATCAGAGTCAAGGGAGGTTGTCGTTAAAGAAGCAACTGAAGCTAAAATGTCAAGAACAAACTCTTGCTAATTCCTTGTACGATAAAGCTCTGGTCACGATCAATATGGATCAAGGTGTGTTTTTCACAGACATCTAGATTTATGTCGAAAACGTAGCATGAATCTCACTTGTTGCATCTGCTCTATTGTAGGGAGAGACGATTTTCTTTTGGACCAGGGCCAGCTTACTCAAGGAAAGATGACGTTTCAAGCAAGGGTTGCCGAGAGTTTCCCTCTTGGATATACTATAGAAACTATCATTGATGGAAAGGCCCTTCGGGGTTTTCTATTTTCAAACAGGCAGAGCTCTGATCTGATGGCTGATCACAGCTTTAGTAGGCAAGAATCCATCTCTTTATCTTTTACAGGTTTTTGCCCTCTTGTGTGTATTATATTCTAAAGCACTGTTTGTAAATAACTTGTTCCAGGAAGAGGGCTGCTATGTGGAATGGTGATCAAGAAAATAGATCGAAGACTTCAATAATTCTGAGCAATGGTTCGATGGCTAACCGAAGACAAGATGATGCAATCAGTTCGAAGGATTCTCCATCAGATGGCATGGACACGGGCATTGATCCTTCCGGATCTAAGAAGGTTTCTCCCTCACGTGGTACGGAAACGGTACCCATAAACCCACTTGATGTTAGTATAAACACCTCATTTCCACATGCAACAGAACCTCCTGTTACACCAGATGCGGAAAATCAAGTAGGGGGAGGTGCTTCTCAACTCGAAATGGTGATATATCCCCAACAACCTCGTTTTTCTGTTTTTTATTTCTTATGATTTGGAATGTCATTTCTTTTCTCAAAGTATACTGGATGTTCTTCAGGGCCCTGCTGTGAACACAGAACCGAGTTCAGTTCCTCTGAACTTAAACAATGACCAGACGAACAAAGTATCAGAATCTGGAAATAAGGTTTCCAAAGATGTTGGAGCTGCTGCCATGTCTGAACCTGCAGACCAATCTTCTCAAAACCAAGGTGAGTATCAATATCTCAGCCTGACCAAATCAAGTAGAAACGAAATCTAATACTGAAATCCCGCGATCTCTCTACCGTATCTAACCAGATGAGAGATTGGCACCAATGGAAGAAGTGAAAACAGAGTAGCCATGACGATGAACAGCGACAAGAACAGTGTCAGCGTTTAACGGTAGCATCAGAAAGGCGAAAAGCTCGCTCTTTTTTCTTTGGTACATTTGAGGGAAATAGGATCGGGTAACGTAGAAGCAAGTTAGAAGCTTGTGCATAAGGAACTCTTTACAGGAAATAGACTAGCTGATTGATGAACAAAACACAAGTCATTTTCTGAAGATCTTTGAAGCTTGTGCACTCTTGCAGTCTATTTTTTTTTGGAGATGCAGGGTTATTTGGGATGAGCACATGATGTCTCTTTCCATTACAAAAAAACAAAGAAGTGGTTTTCAATTACTATTTTAATAGAATTTAAAATTTCCTATATTATATTATTATTTGATAAAATGTGTTTTAAGAATCTATTAAATTCTAGTGGTTATTGGATGTTTTCTCTGAAAAAGTATATGGTTTGAATCGACCAATCTCAATTAATATTGATTATTGGCTATCAGAAGTCTATTAAAAAAATAAGGTGCTATTAAAAATTGGTAATTTTTTTTTTTAAAAAAAAACTAAGAAGTTTTTTTTGCATTTTTTATCTGTGCAGATTTTAGTATATTTGAAATCAAAACCATTAAAGAACTCAATTTCTACTCTATCTACCATATTCTGGTTGATTTGAAAAAGATGTAATTACACCTCTTTCATAATGAAGTGAAGTCTAGGATGGTTTGTGACCGGTTCAATCCGGTACTGCTTTGTAACCGGTTATCTGGTTTTGATTTGGTTGGTTGCATTCTCACACGAGCTGTAGTAACAGTTTTGTGGAGTTTTCTTGCCTGAATTGTTTGACCAAACCGAACCAAACCTGGAATTTGTTTGGTTTTGGTTCCTTCGAAATTTCTCTAGACATAAAACAACTTGGACAGAACCAAAACCCCACATAACCCTAAGTAAACCAAGGCTAAAACCGAATCAAACTCGGAACGTATTCACTTCAGTTCGAATTTTGATAAACCGAATCCGCCCACATGAAGCCAGTTACACCGAGAATGGAATGGGTAATAATCCGAGGTCTCACACTCGTACTCGTCGATGCAAAGGAGAGAAGAAAAGCTCTAAATGATGGGCTCTAGATATCGTTTCCTAAGCCTAAAACCATCACAGATCTAATGTGTTACTTCTACCAGTCCAAGATTAATGGAGGAGGAACCTCAATGGAATGAAGAGGGTATGATCAAAAGCGGTAACGACCTCTCCTTATCCGCGCCCATGCGATGGCTGCAACCGCAGCACCTCCCAAGTGAGCCGAACCTGAGATGTGACTGTCTCCCTGCAATGTCATGCCAAAGTTTCCGGGTTAAAGAGATCTTGGGATTGTGAAAACAATACCAGAGCAATACCCGAACCCATTGAGTTTAACGAGGAATATACGTAGAAAACCCTGTTGGGTGGGTATGCAATCATATTGTTGAAAACCGTGTTCATTCTTATAACGATCTCCAGATTGATTTCACATTGCAGTCTCTGCAATCAACTTGTGCTTTTTCATCTAATCACTACAGTGCTTGTTTAAACAATATGGATATTTGGATAGAAGATATCAACTTTCTCCAGGAGACGATGATTCGGGATCTAAGCTTGAAAAATAAGTCTTTAAAAAGTTACGGGATCTAATAGAAAACCCGGTAACGAGTTACCTCTATTATCCTTAAAACATCCTTGCCAATGAGGAAGATCCCCTGTAAGGAGAGCCAATTTTAAAACGATTAAGAAGAGCTCCACGGTTAATGAATTCAATCTGACAAAAGAGCATAGATGCTTACAAGCAACATTGCGGGCACCGGAAAGATAAATTCTATGTATAGAGTAGCAGTTGGATGCAGCATGATATCGAGCAGCATGATGGCATTCACAGCTCCACTCGCGCCCTACATACAACAGAAGAATATCTCATCATGACGCTATATAACACGCAGATATGGAGCGATACACAACAAGATGGTGTCAGTTCATAATAGATATAACTAACCAAAGATTTCAATAAGGCAAGAAAATATCAAACTCGACAAATATAAAACAAGAATCCCAAAATAATATATGAAAATTGAAAGGTTAAACGTAACCTAAGAGACACATTCAAAGTACAATTGAAAGCTTCCGTCATCAGGAGAATCGGAGAAACATATGAGCACTGGACCTACAGATATCTATCTTCATATCTTTAATACCAAGAACATGCCAAATTCATGGGCGGATAACGACAATTTTAGCGCTGTTGTAATGGAAGGCAAATATATGTTGTTTTTGAGCGAGAACTGAAACCTGCCATTTCAATTTGTTTGCAACAAATGCCTATGACTCATAAACAATTACATTCTCACCATTTGTGCAATGGCAAAAAGGAAGAGATCAGATCTTATTTGCAATGGAAAAACCAATATGGTCTACTTCTAGGAAACAGTTTATCATCATTGCAAAGTTTTAAATTCTTTCTCATCAAATTTTTTGCTATGATAGCCAAGTAAAGGATCCCACAATTGAATAATAGATGATCATACCATGAAAACAATAACCTAATCAAGAGAAGAAAAAAAGAATTACCAATGCTGGGGCTCTTGATGGATCCTTGGTGAATGCTCCCCCACCCTGTCCAATGCAGATGATTAGCCGACCAAAATGAAAGGTACTTCCCATAAAACTAAAGTTCCGTGTAATAAAGCGTTTGCAATGGAAAAACCAGAGTTATTTCCCATAAAACTGAGTTTCGTGTACAAAATTACAAATGGCATATAAACTTTAAAATTATGATTCGAAGAATCAGACTTTTTACATCGGTTGTCTATACCTTAGATGATGGAGCCATGAAGGTCTGATGAATCAAGAAGAAAACAGAGCCACCAAGCGCCCCAGCGAGATACAGTTTCAAAAGATATTGAGGGCCAAATGTTCTTGCAATCTAGCAATACATGATTTTTGAAACAAATAAAAAAAACAAACGAATAAAATCTAAAACAGATAGTTCAAGAATTAAGCAATGAATACAAATGAAAAAGACACAGGACTTATACGCATGAAGACATGTATAGATGAAAGCGGGATATCTCCTGTACACACAGAGAAGATGGAGGAATCACAAATTTAGGTCAATATGGAAATCTAACTTGTGTTCTAAGCAGACTAGGAAGGAAGAAATACTAAATCTGGCAAAGTTTAATCAGAAAGCAGAATGAACTGCCACACCACATGCCAACAGATTCCTTGCTCAGAAGTTTCATAGTCCATCTAGAATCTCTCTTCCCCACGTGAGATATTCCGTACAATAACATTTAGAAAAACTTTCGAAGGCAACTATCGGCATGTGCATATATAGAAGTTTCTTTGTAGAAACTGGCATTACAAAAACCACATGAAATAGTGAAATAATGCCTTAGACGATGCCCGAGAAGATGGTGCATGGGAAACAAACAAAAGCAAGGTCGTCATCTCGCTCTCGCTCATGGGTAAGAAGCCACATAACAGCCAAGCTTCTCCAATGAATACTTTTCTGTACAGAAAACAAATGCAAAGGAAGAGAATATTACACTGGTTCCGAAGAAGTAGAGTCCAATCATGTTAGATATGATATGTCCGGCATCGATATGACTGAATGCCGAAGTTATCAGTGTGTGCAGCCGCCCACTCGTAAAATTGTCCAATGATATCTGCCCAAGGATACAAGACATACAAAGATATAAAAACCTGTAGTGTAAAAAGAAAAAAAAAGGATGGCAGAAATTTTAGGGATATAGATTACATGGTCATTTACAACAACATACACAATTGTCTTAGAGGCGAGTTTTTGAATAGAACGTCCAGCCAAATAATCAGCGGTGATAGATAACATATCAAGTTTCGCCATACGGAGGTCTCACCATGAAGTTTTGAACCATAAAACGCTTGTCGAAAATCCGCCACATCATAAACACACCAACATTAGCTATTATTAACCCCGAAACGACTTGGTTAGGCGATAAACCCTGAAGCCTGCAATGGAAAACACAAGTAAACCTAAGTAGAAACGTACAGAGAAGGAACAAAGAAAAGGTACGAGGTTTTGAATGTAAGATGTGATATATCCCACATTTCTCTTCAAATTCAGGATCTTTTGGTAGCTTAAGAATCCCAAATCAAATTTTAAAAGGGTAACAAGTACAAGATCCCCTTGGTAATTTGATTTTTCTGGAGAATAAAAACTCGAAGTAAAAAAAAAAAAAAGGAAAAACATTCGTACAAATTCCAGCTGTTGAACTGATATCAGTATCTAAAATGAGAAAAGCATCAATACAGCTTTCGCTCAGCTCAAAAAACAAGAACACGCAAATGGAAAAAGCACACTAAAGATGGCAGTTGCTCATCGTCGAGTCGTCCTCACATGTCAAATCATCATAAAAGTTTTCTTGCACCCAAGAATCAACAATAAAATAGCCTTAGGAAACAAGAGAAAGGGTCGATTCACCACATAAACTATACAAAAAATTATCAAAATTTAACCCATATTTCTTATGCTCAGAGGCATTGTGCGGCTAAAGCCTTCAAGCAGGCGAAATTTTCCTACAGTTTCCCTGCCGGCGGCCTAACACATCAATGAAATACGCACGCAGTAAACAAACAAGTCATCTTAAGCAAGATACTATCTCAAATCACAGATCTTTTGTGCCAAAACTTCACCAGAAACGAATAGTAAAGAGATGTCTTGAAAACGGAAAGTAATGGCAACTTCTCCTCCCATTTCTCGGATCTTCTCAGATACCAAACGGAATCAGAAACTTATACAAAAGAAGAAGTAAACGAGAAGGGGGGAAGCACCAATACCATCCACGCCTTTGAAACCCAGAAAACCCCCCGTGCCCGAATCCATTCCTCCGAAACTGAGAACCGAAGAACCCAACTCTGGACTCCCCGAGATTTCCAAGCTTCAAACTCAAAGGAGCGTTCCCAAATGGTTTCAGGAGAAACCCACGAGTTGACACCGATCGCCACAGCAGAGACGGGTCAAAGCGGCTCGCCTGAGAAGACGACGAAGCAGAAGGAAGAAGACGACTGTGGCTCGGCCTGGGAAGCGAGGTGAAGGGATCATGGTGATGACGCGACTGAGGGGGGAGCGTGGATTTTGAGAGTGATTTGGTGAGATTCGAAAAGCCGATGACTCTCCGGGAGAACATTGCGTGCATTTTCGGTCCCTTTTCCTTGGTTTAGGCACATGCGAACAAATAAATAAATATCGCTCCGAAATTAAAAAAAATGTATTTATATTATTTTTCAAATACACAATGTAATGACTTTTTGATGAAAAGAGAGAAAGGACGAAAAATATTCCCAGCATTACTCAAATGATTTCTTCACACCACAATTGTGTGGAAAACAAATCTTAACAGCCTAACAAACTCGGTATAAATAAACCAAATCAGTAAACCGGAAAATAACCGGAGTTGCACAAGAACCAAGCTTCTGAACATTGAACCGGAAAAAAATAAAGAATAACGAACGTTCCTCTGTCCCGAAGCGCCAAAAACAGAGTATTGCCGAGCTCGTCTTCGTGGAGTTGTGCCGTTGATACAATGTATTTTATAATTCATTTTTTTTTATTTTTAGGTATTCGAATTTCGGAATTTGTAGATACTATTTCCTGACGAATGAATTGTAATTACTCGATAAATAATTAGATATTAGAGTGTAACAAATATAAACTGATACTAAAATATACAAAAAAATCTAAATTAAATGGAAAATGATACAAATATAGAGATATTATTTTAAAATTAGTCTTTATGAACCAAAATCAAAGCTCATCTGGTACAAGTAATTGATGTTAAAGAAAGATAACATGTTTATGATTTAAAATTCCGTTGGAAATAATTCAATCGATTTTGATCGTTGAAATTACCAACGGAAAAATTTGTTTCGCTTTTGGACCGATCCCGCTTAAATTACAATAAACACGATGTAACATGATCAAGAGTTTATAAAACCAACAATAATCACAAATAAAAAAAAAAAGATTAGTTTTCTATTTTTTGAACGGATTATAACACAAAATTTGTTGGAAAGATTTTCGAATAAATTTTGAAACTCAAATTTCACTGCATTTTGTGATTTTAATCTTGTTGAAGTTTTGATCGCAATTTCGTTCATCATAATAGTTTGTTATTAAGTTAACATCTATTTAATTGCACGTTGTGGTTGTAATAACACACGTTATGAATAAACACTTCACCTTTGTTAAGACAAAACAAACAATAAAGCTAAAGAGAAATAAAACATTTCCTCCCCATCCCTTGTGTGGGTGAGTTTTGCAGTGTTCCACGGTCCGACAAAAGCCATTGAACATTATCCGAGGCTCGATCACTCGGTTGCATCACAACAATCATTAATATAAAATCCTAGATTTGCAAGCAGGGTTAGAGAAATTGAAACATTGAATAATAATACATATACACATACCTGATACGTCTTCAAACGTGTAACTCGTATGAATAGTATGGAATTCGGATATGATTTCAAGATGTGCAATATATGACTTCAAAACGTGTAATCTCTTTTTTAAAAACGTTATTTCATCCCTACTGATTAATTGGGATTACATGAATACACTTTTGAGATATTATTTCAATTAACCATTTACTCTAAAATATCCAACATACGACGGCATGACATCACCTATTAATCATCTAAACAATAGCTTACACATTATAAGAACTAAAAGTGAAGCAAGAGGTCTTAAATCAAAAATCTTTGTTTTCGTCTCTTTTTTCAGAGGCAAGACATTGTGCAACAAGGGAAGCAAGAGAGCCATCTGTTGTTAACGTTTGCTGATTTTTCGGGTTCTGTTTTAGAAGCTCGGGATTTCTGTGCCTCCTCTTGCTTTTGCTTTGATTCCTCGATATCGGCTTGAGCTTCTGAAGAGATCTTTGGAGTCTCTGGCTTCCTGAAATGTCCCGTCTGAAGCGGTCCACTTTTGTCTACATTTCCCAATCTAAACACAGCTCAAAACACAAAAATGTTATGAATATTGACTCAAGAACTGCAAGATGAAGATGTGAAGATTCTACCGTAGAATTTATTGCAGATTCTACCGTATGCGTTATGAGTGTATGAATGAATGTTGTTTCGAAGAAAGAGTTTTTCTCTTGCATCATTCATTACATTGGTTGGGGTTATTGAAGATTATCTTTTTGTTTTTCAGAAAAAGAAAAAAACAAAGATCCGAACTTTGAAAAGCCCTTCAACCAAAAGATTATGTTTTTTTGAAAATCCTAATCTTTATAAACCCAACATTTTGGAAAGTTCATGTTTTTTTTTGTTTGGTGTACTTCAAAGTTTGGATCTTTGAGATCTTAAGCAAAGAAAAATGTGGACGACACTCACAGCTTCTGGGAGGTCATTACACATTTGCATGTCATAGTTGTGGTTCAAATTTTGATTTTTGAAAAGAAAAAACTCTTAAGCTGTAAAATTCACCTCTTGCAATGTTTTGGTTCCAAATTCTTCGAAGTTTGGATCTTTTTTCGGTGACTATAACGCAAAAATCCGGTTTCTGATAGAGAAACTTACATAGGAAAGGCGAAAGATCTGACGCTGAAATCATCCGAGCGACAAGACATCGAACAATCCATCTTCCGAACATCCTTATTCACAGCTTCGTTGGCCTGAACTGCCTGTGTAATACTCGGAGCAGCCTTTTTTTCAGGCTTACTTGAAACGTCGGACGCTCTATTCTCCGAAGCAGCCACGTTCTTGCTGGCATCCAATGGCATTGCCGTCGTCGCCACGTCATCAGAAACGCCATGGTTATTGTTGAACCGAATCGGCGACAGAGGTGGCTGAGGGAAAGTGAGTTCGCCGGATTTGAAATAGTCTCCGGCAAAGCTGGTGTTGCCCATATGGATACTGAACAAGGATTCATTGGAAAGGGTGCTCCAGTCGACGGGAGCTGAGGAGGTTGTTCTGGCGAAGATGTGAGAAGGAAGCTTGTAAGTTAGGTTATTATTAGGGTTAGGGTTGGTGGCGTTTTCTTCGGATCTTTCCATTACTTGTGTCTGCGGCCATTGTTCTGTGACAGGTCTTGCGTCTGAATGTGGACTCGGAGTTTCGCTGTCTGAAAGGTGATATTGGTCTGATTTCTCGGGTTTAAACCCGTCCTCTATCGAAGAAGAAGATGGAGATGAAGATGAAGAAGAAGAAGATATCGATTGGTTTCGGTTCTTGGTGGAGATTGAAGGAATATGATCGTCTCGTTCTTGTTCTTGATCTTGTTTGGAGGCCGATGATAAGTGCGTTGTGTTGTGGTTAACGGGCTCCCGTTCTTGTGCCAGTTCCATGCTTGGAGAGGATGAACATACGTATAAATCTGAATTTTATGGTATTTAATTCCATACACCTTAGCCAACATATGAAATTCACAAAGATATCAGGAATTTGTGATTATATATAATCAATATGTGCAGTATATAATCAATCTGTGCAATACATATATACACAGCCAAAGAAGAGACAAAACTCACAAGAAACACACCAAGATTCTCTCTCTCTGTGTGTGTCTCCCCTTCTCCTCGTCGTCGTTCGTCGTCTAATTCACAATTTTGTCGGAAGCAAAGCGTTCATCCAAGACAAGGTTCGATGATGAACACCCGCGAGAGATAACCAACAGCATCCAAACGAGAGAGAGAGAGAGGTTATTTCAAAGGTCATGCATGCGTTTAGGGGGTTATTTTATTTCTGGTGATTTCACAATGATAATATACTATTTTCTGACAATGCTATGTAAAGACGGTTCATTTTATCACGGTTTTTGGGATTACATTTGGTTTTATATAATTTTTCATTTTATCATGGTATTTTAAAATTGTAGTAAATATCTTTTTCTCGCGCCAATAGAAAAAACATTTATATAATAAACAGGTCAAGTAATAATGCAAACTTATATACCTTAGACAAGTTTGATATTTTTTTAGCAAATTTAATGGATTTGTAGTCCTATTCACCTTTTAAAAAATATGTATACGTATAAAGATCTTTCATGATACATTTTCAAAATTCATGTAAATAACAGTAAAAGAAAACTTACTATATATATATATATAAATTTAATAGAACTTTACGATTATTATTTTTGGAATACTTAATTTTATTTTTTAGTTTAGTTCAATTGTTATTTATAATTTTTCTGTGTATGAAAATTATGTATTTGAATATTTTACATATTAATACATAGTTGTATATAAGGGTGTCAATTTAGATACGAGATTCGAATTATGGCCCGAATCCATCCGAAAATATCAGCTTTCGGATTTAACTTTTTTCAGCGAAAAAAATCGAATTTTCGCTCCGGACTTTGGGACCGATTATGGCCGGCCCAAAAGGCCGATAATTTTTTTTTCAAAAAAAAATCTTAGTAAGAAAAATAAATTTATAAAGGAATTTGAACGGGCCTCCGAGTCCAAATTTATAAAGGAATTTGCATGTGTAACCGGAGCATTTCTAATAATATTATTATTATCACAATTATTGTTATAATATTTTAATAATATTATAAAACATTATATTTAATTTTTTAAAATTAGAATTAAAATTTAAAATTAAAATAAATAATTTTTTCTATACAGGGTCCCGAAAACATTTGGGACGGCTCTGATGATATCACGTAGGGGTGGACGTTTCGGTTCGGTTGAACCGAACCAAACCAAAAAATACGATATTTTTTCCGATTCGAACTGTTCTAAATTCCCCAACGATATCATTTTTAGAAAATCGAATTTTTCGGAATCAGGCCGAATTTAAAAAATCCCGAAAAACTGAAATTTTTTAAAAGAAATCTATCTTTTCTTAAAAAACCAAAACCGAACCAAACCGGAACCGAAACCGAACCGAACCAAACATAATATAAAAACCGATTGGCATCTATTTTTATAAAATCGAAAAAATCAAACCGATGCATTCCCTTTCTAAATCCAAACCGATTCCTGAAACATCCACCCCACGTAGTGAATACTTCTATGCTGTAAAATTCATGCCACTTGATTTATTTTTACATCCTCTCTTGTATCCGTTGGGAAATAAATATACAAAATTTAATAAAGCTTAAAAAAATTGTTGAACATGTATGGTGGTAAGTGTTTTTTTTTTTGTATAATTTGGTTGTATTAATAAAAAAATGTTTACATAGGATCCAAGATCCATATTACAAGCTTCAAGTCATTGCACTTGTTGCTAATGAACCCTTAATAGGAAAGCTTACACAAATCTTTTCTCACAATTTCCAAAATCCAAATTACTCGTCGGTCAAGGGAGAGAGAGATAGTACCATTTCTGCATGAGTATATTTTCTCTAGATTCAGTAGTCCGTTGTAGTGTAAGGAGAGAGCTCCTGACCGCCTAATCCAATCTGGTGGCGAGCATACGTGGTGTGGTCGAGGTGTTGGAGAAGATGATGTTATTCCTCTCCTTCTATAGCTCATAGCTAGATTGCCTGTTGAATGAGTATTCTTCTCAGAATTCTCCTTTTGACTTCATCAGCCACCGGTATACTGTATATCCAAGATTTGCATTCAGCTAGGTCCTGCGGAGGGTTTCTCCATATACTTCCCACCATGTGAGCTAGACCATTGGGTTGTACGAGCAACGAAAGAAGAGGTGTCCATGTGATTCCGTTGCCATATCGTTGCTATTATCAACGGAAAAATATCGTTGAAATACCGTTGATATTATCAACGGCTTGTAACGGAATCTTAATTTCAACGACCAGATTGCAACGGGTTATGTCCGTTGAAAATTCCGTTGAAAACCTCGATTGTCAACGGATATTTGGGCTATTTCAACGGAAAAATCCGTTGATATTCGGGTTTTTTTTTGTAGTGTCCTCCTCGGCATTGCATAGTTGGCAAGTTGCATTCTGAATCAGATTCCATCTGAGTAACATGTCCCGAGTTGGCAACCTCCTCTGCACAATCATCCAATGCACAAAGGAATTCATTGGAGTTGCTTACTTGAACCAAACTATGTTGCTCCATTCCATCTGGCCAGAAGTTTCTCCTATTTGTCTCCATGTTGATGTAACTGAGAAAGATGATGAGAATGAGTTTTCTGTTATCTTCCATTCAAATTTGTCATCTTCAGCTTCCACATTTGGCATCGACAATCCTAGGAGCTTGATTTGTAGGTTTTGAATGCAAGCCGAACGAGCTCCAGATAAGAGCCAACTCCTGCCCTCGGTTGCTTGAATTACTCTCGCATTGATTGGAATTCTGATTTGCCGCGGACCATCATTTCAAGCAGAGTCCAACAATGACCCTAGATCTGTCCAATTGTCATGCCAGAAAAAACGCCCTCTTGCCATTTCCAGCCTTGCACCGAACATAACCTCTTGCAAATTCTTGCTGCTTCAATAGCTTTCTCACATTTCAGGAAAGTCTTGCTGATGGCTTAAATGCCTAAAAGGGTCGACCCTTAAATGCTTAAACGAGATAAGTAAATTGATTGATTGATTGATTTTTCACACCGTGTGTGACTAATTATTTATTGTTTTTTTACCAGAGGTTAAAAAATCGTATGTATATATAGATACACTTTATCCTTTACTTTCACAACGGAACACAACGACGTCGCCTACAATATTTCAATGCCGATGAGACGACGTCATATCAGTATACGAACGAGACCATACATCCCAAGAAATGAAAAAGGTTAATGGGGACAAATAGAGCTCGTTCGATCAGCAAAGGGAAGGAGGAATCATAAATAGATCACCACAAAAGAACAATTATAAAGAAAGGAAAAATAGAGGAAAGATATTTTTTTATGATATTTGAAAAGGGGAGGAGAAAAATTCTTAGTCAACAAACAACAACGAGGCCCGAAGAATTTGAATGTATTCTCGTGAGTGTATTGTATAGGCGATATACATTATATCTTGGTTCTCTCTATGAAATCCCCTTTTGAAGCCCTTTTTAACACTATCCCAAATTATTCCAAACTTCGTGTCTTTGGTTGCTTGTGCTATCCTTGGCTGCGACCTTATGCTCCTCACAAACTTTTCCCAAAGTCTACACCTTGTGTCTTTCTTGGCTACTCTCCATCGCAAAGTGCCTATTTTTGTTTTGATCCTTCCACCTCACGCATGTTTGTCTCTCGTCACGTCATTTTTCATGAGTCGTCTTTTCCATTTGCTAGTGGATCATTCTCTTCTTCCTTGCCTGAGGCATCTTCTCCAAGTTCGGCCCATGCTCGGCTCTCCGGTTTCTCGGATATGTCCTTACACGCCTCCGGTCTGTTCATCGTCTTGCAGCGTTCCCCCGTGCGAAGATGCTTTACCTACGGAGTCTTTGGAGCCTTCCCCGGCGTGCTCTCCTGATCCTCCTATGGCTTCTACCAGTGAACATCCCTCGGACATGGCTGTTGTGGCGTCTGATCCGGTTGCTTCTCCACCACGAAATTGCCATCACATGACCACTCGTGGTAAGAACAACATTGTGAAGCCCATACAGAAACTTACACTATATGTCTCTTGTATGGATCTTGATAGGGAGCCAACATGTGTCACCCAAGCCTTGAAGGATTCCAGGTGGAGACAGGCCATGAGCGATGAATTTGATGCGTTAATTCACAATGGTACTTGGGAACTTGTTCCTTCGACGGGGGTGACTAATACTGTCGGATGTAAATGAGTGTTTCGCATCAAGAAGAATCCTGATGGTTCTATTGATCGGTTCAAAGCTAGACTTGTTGCCAAGGGTTTTCATCAAAGACCCCAGATTGATTTTCATGACACCTTTAGTCCGGTTGTTAAACCGACCACCATCCGCATTGTACTTAGCCTCGCTGTCTCCATGAAGTGGTCTATTCGACAACTTGATGTCAATAATGCCTTCTTGCAAGGGCATTTGTCGGATGAAGTTTATATGGTGCAACCGCCGGATTTTATTGACAACGATCGTCATTCATTTGTTTATAAGCTTCAGAAAGCTTTATATGGCTTAAAACAGGCTCCTCGTGTTTGGTACTCGGAGCTCCGTGTTGGTTTAGTGCTCTATGATGTACTGATTATGAGCTTTGTTCCGATACATTCGATGTATTGATACTTTCTATAGTTTTATGAAAGTATTTTATTCATTACATGTTCTTGCATGCTAGATCTGTTATGAAATCCATGTATCATTATGAATGATACTAAACTCCCTAGTCTTATGTCGTTATGGGAATAACGACATAATAAGACTAGTATGATGTGTGATTGATGATCACATAAATGATCATAGGTATTGGATACGATCACGATCATAGGTATTCGTTGGAGAACGGAATACTGGAATGACCCGCATGAGATTGTCACATGGACTAGCGTCATGACTTGAATCTCATATGACGGTTCCATGATTGGATCCTGAGACCTGAGGTATCTACGGAATCCAACATGAGGAGTTGCGTGCTTTGATTACGTCAAACGTCGTCTTGCCAAGTTGGTTCTGTACCTCATTTCTGAAAATCTTGAACAATTCAAGCGTTTCACACTTATGTCTCATCAAGTACACATAACCGTACCTACTGAAATCATCAGTAAACGTAACAAAGTACAGATAACCTCCTCTAGCAGGAGAGCTCATATCGAAGCAACTTGATCGTCTTGCCAAGTTGGTTCTGTACCTCGTTTC